GCTAGTCATCACCACCCACCGCCAACTCTTTTACAGTTTCTTGGATATATTGCCCAGGGCATATAATAATTCAATATGCTCCCCTCCTATTTGTTGTAAATATTGCCTAGGGCAGATGATAACTCAATACCCCCCACGACAGTACAGTTGTTTTTTTTTACTTAATCTTCACGTTGTTTAGAATAATAAAGCAGTTAGTGAGATAAACTTGTAAATATTTATATCATATTTTGATTGATAATACATGTATTCTTTACGGGAATCGTTTTCAACTTTGAAAACTTACTTGGAATACATACATTGACAAAGCGGTTTGTAGCAATATGCTGAAGCACGAAAGGAAACTTATAATATAGTTGTATAGCTTACATGTCTTAATAAATAACCTTATTATGGTAAGGAGAGATCATAAATCTAGAGAGAGAAAAAAAAAAGTGTCCATTATATTTATTCAAACGAGACGACCCCGCACAGGCCTATTTACTTTCTTCGTTATTATTATTATTATTGCGGTAAGAACCTCTATATAAATATTCCTTCTTCCGTTATTATTTCTTGGAATAAAAAGTTGTTTGGGTTTGCCTAATTAAGAATCCCTTCTGCTTCATAATCTTTGATGTAAAATTATTTAAAAAACAGAGACGTTTAATCCTTAAACTCGAGAAGTAAACATATTCTAAAGCTGTAACATTAGGGTTTATTGTTACTTTTAGATTTGTGAAACTCCGATCTTTTAATGATTGTGGGTCACTCGTGCCTGGATGGATTTGGTTCGTCAGTTTCACGATCGTGTACTAAGAGCGCTGTTGCCCCCCCCCCCCCCAGTAGCACAGTGATATGTCTGTGAACTAATACCTCTAGAAACCAGAAAACGGGTTTCGATACCCGTGGTGGGCAGAGCACAGATAGCCCTTGTGTAGCTTTGTGCTTCATAACAACAAACTGGTCTGGAAACAAGCATTAACTTTAAAAGTTAAGAATGATAAAAGTTCTTATCGCAAAGTTAATTTACTCATTCTGCATCGATATTTATATCTCCATTATTCTTAGCATTATAGATGTCGCCTAGATAGTCCCAAAATATGACTTTACTAACGTAAATATCCTAACAGAACTGACGTAATAAAACAGGCGTCAGAAACTCAAAGGAATGTAAAAAAGCACCAAAGTTGGAAGTCGAACAATCTTGTCAGAAGTGCGGGCACTAGGTGGATTTGGGGGTACGTTTCCCTGGAAAATATTTACAATGAGAGCGGAAATTCGAGCCCACTTTAATGCAGTGGCAGCCAAAATATGATGGAACGTAGATAATTAGGGGTGGGGTGGGGGCATGAGCGATACCAAAATAATTAGTTTAACAACCAACTTACACGACATTTTGTTTTATACCCGAAATATATTTATCTTATCCTTTCGATTCTTTGATCATTATCTATTTATAGAGTCATTAGTTTGGATAAAAAAACTCAAATTGTGAAAAACCTTAAACTTGCCGATTTTTTTTAGAGGAAGGGCAAAATGTGTGCAGTAAGTTGTTGGAACTATTTTCATATATATTATCATAAAACATAATGGAGGAAAATAATGACGTCAAAATCTTGCATAATTGTAACTGTTTGTTTGTTTTGAATTTCGCGCAAAGCTACACGAGGGCTATCTGCGCTAGCCGTCCCTAATTTAGCAGTGTAGGACTAGAGGGAAGTCAGCTAGTCATCACCACCCACCGCTAACTCTTACCATTCAATAGTGGGATTGACAGTCACATTATAACGCCCCCACAGCTGAAAGGGCGAGCGTGTTTGGTGTGACGGGGATTCGATCCCGCGACCCTCAGATTGCGAGTCGAATGCCCCAACCACCTGGCCATGCCGGGCCCTTGTAACTAATGAGCGTATGTAGACTTATAACGCTAGAAACCGGGTTTAGATGCCCGTGGTGGGCAGAGCATAGATGGCCTATTGTAGTTAACTACAAACATACAAACCATATACATGTCCGAGTACATCAGAGGGGATATCGAAAGGTCAGATCTTTCCATGTGTTAACGAGTCTGCTCAGTGGTTTTATTCAGGCCAGCATTTTTTGTTGTTGTTGTAGTTTACTTGTGTACACGTGTCTTTGATCTAGCCCTAAAGAAAAATATCTGGAGGCGTGAGATCCAATCAGTATGGTGGTCACGGGTTAGGACCATCGCTGCCAGGCCAGTTATCTCACGTCTGACAAACATTGGTCGTCCTGCCACCTAGTGACGAGATATCACAGTAACAATTATGCTAAGTTTCGGCACCTTTGTGTATTCACTCTTCTTTGTTCTAAGGCATATTATTGTGAATGAACAGTGTTATTTTACAACACCCTATATGTGTAGTATAATTTTTTTTAACATAAAGCAATTGAAATTGAGAATAAAGTCTTGAAATCTATTTATCAGCTTTATTTGTATTGAACACCGTTCACAAATAAGTTTGTTGAGTCAGACATTATGGCACATCAGTGTAAACGCTGAGATAAAGAATATTCATTATACATCTGTAAAAAATTAAAGTCTTAATACACGTACAAGCTAATACTAAAAGACAAATCAAAAAAGTGTCAGATCATAATGTGGGGCACAATCTTGGGGCACATTTCTCTGAGCCATTTCATACGAAATGATGTATTTCATACAATAATAAAAACTTAAGAATATGTCGGTAACTTCGAACAAGCCCCCACTGTCCCTGAGTAACAACAAAAACTTTACAATTCTGTTATCATGTGACCTTTAAACAGGCAGTCGGTGAATTTTCCAGTTAGTCGTGTCATGAGTACAGAATAATTACTGAGGTAGAAAAAAAAATAACAAAAGAAAATAAATGTCACAAACAGGACACGAGTAAAAATAAACTTGCATTTAAGATTTTTGGCTGCAGACTTTGAAATACCCGTGATAAAGTCAATGAAGGAAAAACGAAAGAAAAGAAAACTGGATTAATTTCTTTCACAACATCTGCCCAATAAAACGGTGGTATTATGACTGGATCCAAAACTTATCAAATACGTAACTAAACAATAACTTTAAATGCAATTTCTATAGGACTAAAAACTATGCCTGTTACACACAAAACACGCTTCTATTCCGGAAACTTCTAGAAACTACCTCTTATAAGTATGCTAATGAGCATACCAAACACATGTGAACATCCACAATTCCATTTTGGCACAATTTTTTTTCCTCATCCCGAACTCCACAGAATGCCATGTCCTGCCTTGTCTCGGTAAGATAACGAGACACAGCTGACCATGAACGACGACAACAACAGTGCCCTACCTTGTTGCTGGTATACTTAAATGTTTTGAAAAGAAAAGTTATTGCCAAACGAGGTTACGAAAGGGGTTATTGCTTAGGTTAAAGGAGTGGGATCAATTAATATGGGATGATTTACAATGGTATATGCCATATCTTTAGAAAAAGTAAGTGAAGAGGGGAGGCCATCAATATTACTACTATATAAATTGTGTCCATAAGAGCCATCGATACGACCACTATCTATGTCTGACATAACAAGGCCCCCCCTTGTTACAGACATAACACTGTTAGATTCCTGCATCTTACTGGGAAAACTGGATGAGAGAGAATCAGCTTCTGTTATCACAGTGGGTGTTGATGTAGTAACACCAAAAGCTGGGGAAAACAGAGAGTAGAATGGTGAGAAAAAAGGTGCAGGTGAAGTGAAGTTAAATGTATTGATAATATTTGTATATGTATTCATAGATGTGGTCGTATTCGATAAAAAAGGCTGTGACTCCATGGTCTCCTCAGTGGCAGAAGTCCCTCCTGTACCGCCGGCTGTAGTCATGTTGTTCCCAGAAGCTGGCGACAAGGTTTCCCCTTGATGGTTACTGCTGGGACTCTCGGACACTGGTCTTACTTCAGCTAGTGAGGAGGTTGATACTTGATGGGAAAACATTCCATCAGAATTTGCAGTTTGTCCTTTATAAGATGATACGTGAATAGATGGTTGTGTGAACTGATGTGAATGAGGTTCAACACTTGATGGTGGATAAGTGGATGGGGAACACTGCTTAGGGGCCAAACCACCAGGATGAACTGAATGTTGATGTTGAGGCTTGTTAGTTTCACCCTCTTGCTGTATAGCTTCTTCGTTGTAATAAGCATTGTAGCTCATCCCATTTAATGGATGGGGCTGATTACTCACGGTGCCCTGATATCCTGCTGGTTGTGAATCTTTTGGAGCACATTCTGGATTATCTCGATTTGTATCTCTTGAAAATGATAGTTCATTTGGTGGGCCATTTCTTGAGAGCTGAGTGTTTCCATCTGCTCTTGTTGGCATGTCAGTCTGCCACAATGGAGACATTCCTCCTCCTGCGTGGACATAGGGTCGCATGGCATCTGAAATGGGAGGCAATGGTTGAGACATAATAGCGGGAGACACCATGTATGAAGCATGTCCCCCAGGAAAGTTCTGGTTGTTCGCTGGAGAAGGAGACATTGACTGGTTGTCAGAATATAGCTGATCACTGGGATTTCCCGAAGATCCCTGCTGATATGGTTCTGTACATCCTGAATTAGGGATTGCTTGTTCTTTCTGGTTTTGACGACTCTGAATCAATGATTTTAGTCGATTATTCATAAACCGATGTCTTCCCGAGCCATTCATCCCTTCTTTGGTCACAGAAGGAGCTGACAATGGGTTTCCATCGCCCATCTCAGCTGGAGGCATATGCCCATTATAAGGAGCTAATAAGCGAGGTGGGTTCTGGTGAAAACTACCATACTGTGAACCCAGTTCAAATACATGATTTTCTCCTTGTGGTGGAGGTAGATTCTGCCCTACTTCCATGTTATAGTTTGGAGCCAAATATGGCTGCATCTGGTAATGAAAATGAAACACTGTATTAGAAGTTATATATCTCTCTCTCACACACACAAACATATGCATACTCGTTTTAATGAAATCACAGAGAATACCCAAAAACAATGCAAATTTAAATCGTGTTCACAATGTTCTGAACATGTGAATTATAAAGTTATTGGGCAGATAGTTGAGCCCTTAAAAATGCATATTTTGAAACATATTTTCTTTTGTTATTTTGGTACAAAACTACACAATGGATCATCTGCGCACCGTCCACAATCAGCAAAGTTACTATTACTGACTCTCCGGGGGAGGGGGGCATTTCTGTTGTTAACAAAATATTGTTATAACTTTTTAAAACCAACACCACCTCAAAATTATAAGCATATAACGTAATATTTGTTATCAGGAAATTATGTTCATATTACTTTCATGATACCTACATAATTTATTTATTTCAGGAAACTTGAACTCACTGGATTGTCTTTATCATGGATAGCATTGTTTGGATGTCTTTTTAATAAATATATAACCACTGAACTTTACTTACAAAGACCCCCCCGGTGGTATAGCGATATGTCGATGCTACTGAAATAGTGTGATTTGTTGTTTTTCAGCTTCATTTAAAACTTTGTTTAATAAAAAAAATGTGTAACTCCATGAAAATGATTTTTGATTCTTTGTAAGTGTTTGTTTGTTCGTAGTTAAGCATAAAACTAGACAAAGGGCTATCTGTGCTCTGCTCACCACGGGTATCGAAACACGTTTTCTACCGTTGTAAGTTCGCAGGGGTTTTGATGCTACTGGAATGGTGTGATTTGTTGACAACCCAGATATGTGTGGGGTTTTGATGCTACTGGATATGTGTGGGGTTTTGATGCTACTGGATATGTTTGGGGTTTTGATGCTGCTGGATATGTGTGGGGTTCTGATGCTACTGGAATAGTGTGGGGTTTTGATGCTACTGGATATGTGTGGGGTTTTGATGCTACTGGATATGTGTGGGGTTCTGATGCTACTGGAATAGTGTGGGGTTTTACACATATCTGGGTTGTCAACAAATCACACCATTCCAGTAGCATCAAAACCCCACACATATCTGGGTTGTCAACAAATCACACTATTCCAGTAGCATCAAAACCCCACACATATCTGGGTTGTCAAGTTGTAGAGTGGCAGCTTACAAAGCTCCGTCTAGTAGCGGAGTCCAAATGAAAAGTGGCTGATCTTTAGTGAGGAAATGTTTTCAAATATTTCATTCCTGTTTAAGAGTTACACTTTTTTTTTTAGTCTGTAAATTGGTTTACTAACAGCATCAGTTTAATTTTGTTCGTTCTCTTACACTCGAATCTGGGCCGGCATGGCTAGGTGGTTAGGCCGAGGGTTCGAATCCCCATCCCACCATACACGCTCACCCTTTTAACCGTAGGGGCGTTATAATGTGACGGTCAATCCCACTATTCGTTGGTAAAAGAGTAGCCCCAGAATTGGCGTGGGTGGTGATGACTAGCTGCCTTCCCTCTAGTAGCTTTGAGCGAAATCCAGAAAACAAATACTGTAATCATATCAATCTCTTTACACTTATCCATTTCTTGCAATGTAAATGTCTCCATTTCCTTACACTGTAAACCCATTTGTTTCTTTACATCGTAATACAATATCTTAGTCTATATTTACTTGCTCTTTTTTTAGTCTGAAACTTATTATTACCAGAGTACTCCATGACGTCGAGTACAATATCGAAATATTTAATGATTTTAGTAGCATAAAACTATATCTATTATAGGATGCTGACTGCAACACCACTTTCGTTTTTTTTTACATAAGCTGAGCATGGCCTAGTGATCAGCATGCCAAACTGTGGATGTGTGGGTCCAAGGTTCGAGTCCTACAAAACGCTACTTAAAAATCGTCGCGCTCCGCTCTTTAGGGTAGGGGGGTGTCTCTACCCTGCCCCTCGTTGGTTCTGTGTTAAGTCTGAGATCTTATAAGATAAAGAATTGGGGTTCGATACACGCGGTGTGGGTAAAGCACGGGTAATCCTTTATATAACTTTGCGCTTAACAACAAAGAAATCCCGTAGCTCAAAATTAAAGACGTCTAATGCAGTTGGTCCTTGCGTAGCTCTACGCGAAAACTCGAAACAAAATCTTTAGTATTGTACGGAGCCTCGACAAAGCACAGACAATTATACAAAGAAAAAAAAAACTGGCCCCGAATGTTATGATACATATCTATTTTTCAGACGTTATCTTAATCACTACGTGGTGGGGGGCGCTGACGTTTATAATGCGCTAACTGTTGGCTTGTAAAGACTAGTGTCCAGCGTCTGCATGGAAAATTACATACCTGTTCGCTGGGAAAAAATAGGTCGTTCTGGTTGCAGCTGCCCGAGAACAAAAGTTGGTTATTGTTCGAGGTACGCTGCTGCTTCAATGACTATGAATAGGTTCGGAAGTTTCAGTCAGCTAAGCCTAGCTTGTGCCTATCACGGACGCCGCGTTGAAAGAAACCAGACGTAGCTGGTTTAAGCTTATGAGGTCGTGGATAGTCCTGACATGACACGGTCTAGTCAAAATAAATAAAGTGCACTCTTTTTGTTGTTGTTTTCGGTTATTCTTGGAGTAAAATACATGACTTTTTTTTTTAACATTTATTTCCCACACCTGCTCTGGTAGAATAAGAAGGAACCAAAGTTACGTCATCTGTTATATGTCAGTCTTAATAAACCAAGTGAATTATAAGGAACAATATACATATTTAACTTTCTGGCTATCCTAGATTTGTGAGTTTTGAAAGCTTATCTGTCTCAAAGACGTAGAGTGTATGTGTATAACGATTACTTACAATGTTTTTAATTTTCATAAGCGTGTTATTCATGCAGTGTTTTTTTTTTTGTGGCTCCCTTAAATGGCCGAGAGCAAATATCTCTAGATTCAAGGAAATCCCATTGGCTTTTTAAATGATATTTTTCTAAACTGTGTACGCAACAAATTACTCGTGGACCAATAATTTTGTTGGTTTGTTTGTTTTTGAATTTCGCACAAAGCTACACGAGGGCTATCTGCGCTAGCCGTCCCTAATTTAGCAGCGTAAGACTAAAGGGAAGGCAGCTAGTCATCACCACCCACCGCCAACTCTTGGGCTACCTCTTTTACCAACGAATAGTGGGATTGACCGCCCCACGGCTGAAAGGGCGAGCATGTTTGGTGGGACGGGGATTCGAACTCGCGACCCTCAGATTGCGAGTCGAGCGCCTTATCCACCTGGCCATGCCGGGCCAATTTTGTTGGTTACAGGATCACTAATAACATGAGCAACACCAAAATAAATATAACCAACAACACCGTCAACTACCCAAATTGAACGCACTAGTAACTTGTGTAGTTTATATATATATATAAAAATGCACATAAAAGTCACACAACAAGATACAATATGTGAACCCCACAAAAACAATTTGAAAATATCAGAGTAAACTACATCATGTGAATTTCGCGCAAAGCTACACGAGGGCTATCTGCGCTAGCCGTCCCTAATTTAGCAGTGAAAGACTAGAGAGAAGACAGCTAGTCATCGCCACCGCCAACACTTAGGCTATTCTTTTACAACGAATAGTGAGATTGGCCGTAACTTATAATGCCCCCACGGCTGAAGGTCGAGCATGTTTGGTGGGATTACGATTCGAACCCGCGATTTTTCTCAGATTGTGTGTCAAGCGCCCTAACCACCTGGCCACTACATCACAACTAATACGTTATTTAGAAGATATCCACTAAACAAGACCGTCAACTGGAACAAGATTAAACTTTATAAGCACATTTAGCAGTTACAGAATTATTTCAAATTTAAACAAGAGGGAATCCTCAATAGCCGTGGTACTTGAACTTATTTTAGGCAAGATTAGGGTAAATTAATCTACGAGACCTTTTTTTTTTTACCTTTTTATTAGCTATATTTTTGTGTGCTAGCAATACCAAGCGTGGGGCGCGCTTATACCCGATTCGATTTTATTACTAATCGAGATCTTTACCAGGATTTAGTATGTTTTAGGCAGGATTAGAATAAATTAATCTATGAGACCTTGGGCGTGGTCAAATACATCAAGCGAAAGTGTTTGACCTCCTGAGTTCAAAACTGTAATTAGATCTTAAATCCGTCAAGAGATGACGGATCTATGAGCTACAAGTTCATATTTGGAAAAAAATAACAACAAAAAACAAACAGAGCCACTCATCCGCAGCTAAAAAAAAAACTCTATGTTGTATAACAGTATCGAAGGTATACAGTAACATAAATTGCTATGCAATTTAAAAAAAATTGCAGGCAGCTTCCAAAACCTTAAATATTCAATTACTTTGTATTTTTTTCTAACAGACACACACAGAGTTTTAAAATTTGCACAATGATTTCTGTTGCAAAGTTTACACTGTAATATTTCTTGATGACGAATGTTAATAACTGATCCATCTTGTAAGATCTATAACAAGTTAACTGCACGACATTGTCCGAGTAGTGCTGGAGCTATTAGACAACCCAGTCTAGGCCTAACAACAGTTAGGCCTAACGGTACAAGCACACTAGTTAACAAACTCTTTTAGGAAGATTAGACTGAACGGTATCTCATCTTATTAAACGAACAGAAAGTTATAAAAATGTCCAACATGTCATTTAGACAAAACACTTACACCTACAAACTTCACATTATTAGGCGTGAACAAAACACTTACACCTACAAACTTCACATTAGGCGTGAACAAAACACTTACACCTACAAACTTCACATTAGGCGTGAACAAAACACTTACACCTACAAACTTCACATTAGGCGTGAACAAAACACTTACACCTACAAACTTCACATTAGGTGTGAACAAAACACTTACACCTACAAACTTCACATTAGGTGTGAACAAAACACTTACACCTACAAACTTCACATTATTAGGCGTGAACAAAACACTTACACCTACAAACTTCACATTATTAGGCGTGAACAAAACACTTACACCTAC